GGATCTATCCAAGTTGGGAATGATAAACATTTACTCCCAACTTGAGGGGGAGTGTAGAGAAACYGATGTGGGCCCCACAGCTGTGGGGCCACTCTGTCCGTAGGATAGAATATACCTAGTCTATCTGCTATGTTATTCTGTTATTCTAGTTATGTTAAATGTTATGATGTAAACACCAAGGGCAAATATGTCCTTTCGTGTAACTAGCATAACATATAAATATTAAATTGAAGTGGCGGCGGCAGATCATTTAGAATCTGTCCTTCCTTTCAAACTTGTGTTCTACTGCTCTCTCACTAATCTTTCTCCTCTCTCTTCTTCACTTTCTCTTCTGTTCGAACCTGAAATTCCTTAGTGTCCAAGATTGATAGCAGTCTTGATCATCTTCAGTTTGTTAGTGTTTGTTTTCTCTCGTGTGATCTCTTGTCACCTTTCTCATGTAATCTCTTTTTTTAATAAATTTATCTTTTATCCTTCAAAAAAAAAAATACTAGATTTTGTACATTATGGGTTGGAAGGACATATTATTGGCTATTGTAGAGAATTCTATAGACTTTGGTTCTGCTCACATTGTTATCGTGAGGGGCATACTGTGGAGTATTGTCGTCTATTGAAGAAACTAGGAAGTTATGCCAACCAGGTCACCTATTCAAATGATGTATCACAATCCCAACCACAGATAGTTGCTACAGTCAACCAGGCATATGGGGAGACAATGACTATTTTTAAGGAAGAATATAATTGGTTAATTGCAGCCTCACCCTCCACTGTTACTCTTGCCCATGCATTAGGTATTAGCTCCACCTATCTTCTCTACCTCATCATCATCTCTATGGGTCATTGACTCAAAGAGCTACTGATCACACATTAGGTACTTCATCTACCTTTTCTAAATTAACTTCTTGCTGATAGGTATAAATCCCCGGTATCTAGCATAGGACATGTCAACCCAACATCCCAATTGTCTTTCTCATTTGTTATTTATGTTCCTCACTTTCCTTTTAATCTTATGTCTATGAGTAAGCCTACAAAATCACTAAATTGTTTTATTACCTTTTTTCCTTCTCATTGTGTGTTTGAGGACTTAAAGAAGAAGAGGCAGATTGGTGGAGTTGAACACTAGTTTTGAGTCATCCTTCATTGCAAAGTCTTCATGTCATGGTTTCTTTGATTCTGTCCAACACTAGTTTTGAGTGTGATACATGTCAGCTTAGCAAGCATCATCAACTTATTTTTCCTCCTTGAGCCATGAGTCATGTGTCTAAACCTTTTCAATTAGTTCATTCAGACGTTTGGGGTTCATGTCCTGTAGTGTCTTATTTGGGGTTCAAGTATTTTGTTACTTTTGTTGATGATTTTTCAAGAATTACCTAGTTAGATTTGTTAAAGGAGAGGTCCAAAGTATTTCCTGTGTTCAAGTCTTTCTTTATGGAAATAAAAACCCTGTTTGACTCTACTATTTGTGTTATTCAATCTGACAATGATAAGAATACATGTCTTCACCATTTACTGAATTTTATAATGATCATGGAATCATACATCAAACTTCGTGTGTTGATGCACCACAGCAAAATGGTGTGGTTGAACGCAAAAACTGCCATCTACCAGAAGTTACATAGCCCCCCTTATCCAGATGAATGTGCCAAAGATTTATTGGAGTGATGTTGTTCTTACCGCTTGTTATTTCAGTATTAGAATGCCCTCATCGATTCTTAGATAACTCATTCTGTCTTGTTTCCTAACATTGTATTTCTTATCTATACCACTTGTATGCTTCTCTTTCAGCTTATAGTTTCACCTGTGTGTGAGCACGTGTTTGTGCATGCTGCCCATGTATATTGTGCAAGATCAACTTTAGCATTTGAAAGCTTTAGTTGTAAATGTTAGAAGTCATAGCGCTACAATTTTCCAACCCATTGTCAGCATGTGCTTGCAAATGCAACATATCCGGAGTAAAGCTACCAGGTCCATTCTTCTTTATCAATAATGGATCAATGAAAATGTATTAATCACCAGATTTAAGAAAGAAAGATGAGCTAACCTTCATTTGCTTAGAAAACACATTAGAATGGAAGCAAATGTGCCATGTAGAGATATACATACGACCGTGATACAAGAATGATCTCTCAAGTGCACATGAATAGCTATGTTCAACAACCTGAATGAATAATAACTCATTAAAGCACTCAGTGGTCTCACACCTATGGGATAAGATTAAACTTAACTAACCAACAATAAATGCACTGATTTAAAATAATAATTTTATTAACTTGCCTCATCAGGAAGTAAATTAAATATAGTTTGTAAAGGCCCAGGTTTCTGATGAACCACAGTAGGACCTTGTTTATCAATAGAAATCCTTCTTCGAGCATTGGCTCCAGCATAGCCATTCAAGACCCTGTTTATAAGTCCATAGTTTCATACTTTCATTTATCAGCAAAAGTCAGAAGGAATGCTCAGTTAAGACAGACATGTTAAAAGAAAATAAATGGAACAGCATAACTAGATCCAGTTCATCAGTAAACTAAAAATGGTCAGTTGTATATTTTTTCTTGCACATATGTACTCGTGCATATTTTTATATTATCACTCATGCTTTTGATTGAGGCATTACTTCATCATATTAAAGGAATTATGGCTACTTTATGGCAAGAAAAAAAGAAGTAAACTAAGGCAACTTATCAAAAAGACAATTGCATTCTAAAGTAGACATGCCAGAAGAGAGTTTAGTGACCCAAGGGATAAATACTACAAATGCTCAGTTTCTTGAGATAGAAAAAGATTATTCAACTTGGAATAAAAAAGAACAGATGGTAAAACTCCAGAACATCATTCATCTTGAGAGAGAATAAAATCTCCAGAATTCAATAAATCAGTTACCTGGAAGAATTCACAGGAAGTTTACATGTTTTGATATGGAGACAAACCTGAAAGAGAAAACTATATGTTTAGCCAGAGAAAAAGAGATCCTCATGAATTTAACAAAGATAATCAAATGTACATAGTAAACAGATATTATTATTAATCACCTGCCCAGATGTGCTATCTAGTGTATGCCAGACTGCTCCAGTTTGAACTTCACCTTCAATAGGAACAGTAACAGAACCAAGAACTGTGCTTTTCCAAATGATATCCCAATCATATATAGTCACATTAATCTACAAAAATAATTAAAAAATAACTTGGTTAAAACATACCTGAAAAAGCATTGAAGACAATATAGGCACAAAAAGTATCAGTAATATCTAAAGATATTTACACAGACATACACAAATAATATATCATACTGTGGTGCTTGGATTTTTTTTTTATTTATTACAGGCTTACAGCAGTGCTTTCATATACACAGCTATTTATCCTGACTATAGATCAAGATTCACAATTCAACGATGATGTCCTATAAACTTTTTAAGAGTCAAAACTACATGACAGAGTGAGTTCAAGCAAAACTTAAACTTACACAATGTGCAAATGATTCTAATAGGTCAATCAACTAATCCATTACAAAAACAAAAATTAAGGTTTAACTTCAAGTTTAAAAAGAAATTCAAGCTGGTTCAAAGTGGTATTCATGTGCATTTGGTGACCAATAATACTACCATTCCACATATATACAATATTATTGCTAACTTATGTTATAATACAATTTCTTGTGCTTCACATAGCACCAGCAGTCTTCACTAGGAGTATGTTTACACCAGAAATATTTCATATTGGTCATAGTTGTCAAGGTAATGCCTAGGCGACTATGCGGTTTTCAAACTTCATCTTGCCCAGATGCCATATAATATTTGTATAAGGCACACGCCTAGGTGATTAGGTGCTTAACTCCAAGGCAGGTGCCTAGATGCAAAACACATTAAAACATTTGATCATTTAATATCTTTTATATTGTTTTTTTGCTGCAAATAATTTTTTATTGGTTAGTTTTAGTTGTTATAACAGAACCTATCACATATTGTCACCTTTTTTATTAGAAGAATACTAGCAAACATTTTATCTTCTAGGGTTTTATTTCATGGCAGAATCGAATTGAAGAGCAAGAAGTGTCCAGTCAGGTTTGTTTCACACACAGTCCAACTCCAACTTGTAGCTGCATAACTAATAAGGAAATCTATACCACTTATTCTTGTTCTCATTTTTCAGTCTGCCCTAGACCACTTATTCTTCTTCTTACCCTCTTCGTTTTCTGCTTTTTTTCTCTTTCTTTTTGTTGGTGTTTTTTCTGTCTTTCGCCGTCTTTTCTGGAATGAAACAGGGGTTCCGCCCCCTTCTTTGCTTCTTCATTTTCCTGCAATCTCTTCACCTTTTGCATCTTCAAAAGTGGTCTGAAAGAGGGACTCTGCCTCCTTTTTTCTTATTCATTTACCTGAAAAGTTTTCACCTTTTTCTCTCATTGAAGGTGGTCTGAAACAGGGGGTCGACCCCCTTCTTTTCTACTACCTACTTTTATTTCCCCATCTTTTCTTGGTATAAAACAGGGGTGGAGCCCCTTCTTTTTTTGGTCTAAAACTGGGGCTCCTCCTCCCTGTTTTATTCTTCAGTTATTTTTCTTTTCTTGGTTTAAAACAGGGGCTATCCCTCTGTTTTGCATGCTTAAGCAAGACTGCAAGAATTACAAGCACAAAAGTTAGTTTAGAGGTTAGTAGGTTAATATATAAAACCAAAATACTAGCTCATGAGGGGTAGAAAAATGTAGGCTTCCTATTTATAGATTTCATCGCTAGGTGACTACTGACTAGGCACCTGGGTGCCCCATAGTCACCTAGCCTCACCTTGGCACCTTGAAAATTATGGTATTGGTATCCGTAGAAATGGAAATATGACATGGAAATATTACAAAAATATATGGACACTTATCGCTAGGTGACTACTGACTAGGCCACCTGGGTGCCCCATAGTCACCTAGCCTCACCTTGGCACCTTGAAAATTATGGTATTGGTATCCGTAGAAATGGAAATATGACATGGAAATATTACAAAATATATGGACACTTATGCTTCCACTACAAGTTTATTTTTTCTCTCTGTAACGTTATTCTACTAAGGTAATACATGAAGTTTGATGAAGAGCACATTTCTCTAGTAGAAAGGACTATATCTGGAGTTCAAGGTATTCCCTAGCATTAAAACACCATAGATATTTTATTCTTCTTCCTTATTGAGTCTCCACCAAGTTGTAAAAATTCTTATAATCTGTAGTATTTTTTCCCTGTTCTTCATACAATACAGCCATATATACCTTGAAAAAATCATCCACAAATAAAATAAAATATTTGTTAATACTGAAACAATGAGTAAAATAAGGTTCCCAACCATTAGTGTGCACAAAATGAAAAAGAATAGTTATTTTATTACTCAAAATAAAAGTTCTAAAATGTTTGGATAAATGACACGCTTCACACTGAATATCTTATCTAGAACAAGACTGAAACAAAGTAGGAAACAAGGAACTCGATCACACAAAAGATGTATGGCCAAGACAACAATGTCATAACTTTATTGGACTAAAGGAACTATAAGGAGTAATGCTCCTACCAAAATCTACTGAGTAGGCTGAAACAGAAGATAGACACCATTAACTTGACCTCCACTTCCAATCATCTTCCCTATGCTCAAGTCCAATAAACGCAATGATTTGAAATGAAAATAAAAACAGTTCAGATTTTTTGAGAAAGAACAAACAGAACAAAACAAAGTTAGTTTGAAGCTAGGGAACATGAGGAACAAAACTAAGAGAGACACCATCAGTTACTTGGACTTCACCCACACCTAATATTGGAGTCTGAGATCTGTATGCTGTAGTGATTTTGTCCCTACCAGAGCATAACTTAAAACAAAGTGGGAAGTCATACCAAGTGTATGGTTAAATAGACCAGAAATAATTATCTAGGATCTAGGAGTAGAGGCATGAAACCCAAAAATATTACCTAACTTAGCAAATTAGTAAAAGGAACACTAGGACCCCAACACTTCCCCAATAAGTCTGAATTCCCAGAAGATACACCACTAGTATTAACAATAAGAATAGAAGGCAAAGATGTATCTGGTGTCAAGGTAACACCAGGAAACTATAGCTCAAAACAAGTAATCAGAATTACAAACTTGTAACTCAAACACATCCCAAAATCTATCCCCCAAATCTGTTATGCTAACTTGTACAAATTCAGGAAGGATTTGCACCCAGTCCGCCACTGTCTTGCCAATGAGCACCACCAGCAATTTCAATGTTCCAGAATTTGTTCTCAAATAGCCTTTTATTCCTTTCTTTCCAAATGATCCAACAAACAGCAAAGGGAATGCATTTCCACACTACTCAGGGTTCAGGCCTTCTTGCAACCTCTGAACTTTTGCCATAAGGAGAAAATTTCTGCAGGGGATCTTGGCTTAAAATTTCGGCAGGGGACCTTGGCCTTATGTGATCATACTACTCCCCTGCAAATTGAAGTTTTATTCCAACCCCACCATTAATCTCAACATGTCCAATTTATCCCAAGTTCTATTTCTATAGTGCACCTTAAAAATCACCCACAACAATTCCCAATTTCCTCAAAAGATAAAAATACTCCAGGCATGCATAGGAATACCCACCACCCCTAACCACAATGCATGCCTTCTTTTCCATTCACCAATAGTCCTTGCCGTTGGAAACCACTGGCTTAGATGAAGGCCAAGTTCTCTTGCCTTTGATCTTTCTATATCCAAAACCCATTCATCCCCCACTCTTCTGTAGAGAATAAATATAAATAGGCCATCATTAAGCTTCCTTACACTCACCATTCTATCTTTTGCCCACTCCAACACAGCTCACACTTCAACCTTCTCTGCCTCCAACTCTACCCTAACTACCTACCAGCCTTGCCTACAATGTCTTCATCCTCTCATCCATCTTCCCCACTTTTCTCACATCAACATGAACTGTGGCCATCTTGGATTCCCATAGCACAAATTCGAGTTCTATCTAGTGTGGCACCAACATTATAATTACCCTTCTTTCCATTCTTGAATCATTTTGTCTTTAAATGAGGGAAGAATTTCCAGGTTCTAGCAATGACACTTTGCCTCCGATACTCAGCTTGGATCTAGAAGTAGCAAAAGCCAAATCATCACCCTTAATAATCTGACTCAAGGTAGCCCACCAAGTTTCCTCCCCCTAAACCAAAGACTAGGTTGTAGGAAAACTAAGGATGTCAGCACTCAATATTATCTAACAAAATCAAGTTCTAGATCAAGCCTAGCTAAGAACTAGAATACTCAGGACTCTTTGATATTAATCAGCATATACAGGGTCTACCCATTCAAGAGTCTTCAAATGGTCCATCTCCTCCCATAAAGCTTCCAAGGAATATTAGTACATGCTTACAGACTTCTCCTGCCTCATACTACTAGCTCCCTCCTTAACTGATAAATCTAGGCAATGCTATGACTCTGAGATAGGTAGCATTAACCCTATCCCAGATATTTTTGGCTGTAAATAGGAACATATAATTTCTCACAACCAGTAAGTTTTACTACTCCTGTTGAGAGTATGCTAGATCATCCACCTAACCTTGGGTTTAGTTTCCTTCCTGATAAGATACCTTAACATCCCCCAACCTCCAATAGATAACTTCGCTGCCTGTACGCATTCCTAAAAAATACTACAATCCAACTTCACAATTTAGCAATTTGAAAAGTGGAACTCTCATGGTCTCAATAGTTTTCGCATAGCTGTTGCTCCCAAACTTCACATCTCTTGAGGCAACCATCACAAGAAAACCTTAATTGATGTAATAATGGAAGGCACACACTAGATGCTCTCCACCAACACTAGTAGATAATAGAAACAATCACAGCACCAGCACTAACAGTAGGGACCAACCAGACTCCACAAAACAATCTCATACACCCTAGAACACTGAAAAATAGGGCAGACAACGACTACAGTGGAGAGAAAACACTACCATTCACTTCACACATCTTCAGTGACATGAGACCACCCCTGGTCTCTCCCAAAAAAGCAAAGAAACAAAACAGTGAGAGCCAACTCTTCAAAAGAAAACCATAGATCAAGTTGAACAAACCAGAAACTCAAACCTACATTTTTTCTTAAATTTCCACTTGGAAAATGGATAAAAATATCAAATCACCATCAAACCACTTTGAGATTGAAACTAAAGTTCATCTAAAATCTATCAGACTATATGGCCTCTAACATCAGACGCCATTGATGATGACATCAGCAGTAGACAAGATCCTTGGACACTAAAATATAATGCACAGATACCAAGTTGTATTTGTATTTCAAGGCAATAAAATAGAAATATAAGAGGAAGAATGGAAGAGGAAGACAAAAGAAGGAAGAGAGAAAGGAAGAAGAATAAGGAATGGCATGAATTTATCTTGGATCACACATCCATCTAATTGCTTACATAAAAATTATTAAAAATTACATCGGTACCCCCATCACTCCAACATAATTACATTTGTTTAAATAATACTTGATTGACTAAATTACCCCTAAATGCCTCAACAACTTTGACCTTCCCCTTGCCTCTTTTAGAGTCTTCTACTTGCACCAACTCACACCTCAGTGGTGCAATCATTGGTATGCAGACGTTGTCATTAATTGGTGCTACTCCTAAGTATTTTGTAATAGCCCATTTTTTATTCTATCCCTTCTAATTTTTCCACTTATCCACCTCGACATCCTAATCTCGGCTAATACTCACAAATTTTAGTAAAAATATTGGTAATAGTAGTGGTGCAATTGATATTGATGATCATGAGATATACTAAACTAACCACTTCCAATACCTTGGATTAATCATCCAAAATGAGGGAGAAACTAAAAAGGGCATTGCCTAAGGAATTAGAACATGGTAGTTAAAGTAGAGGTGCATCAAGCGTGTTGTGTGAACAGCATATACCAATGAGACTAAAAGAAGATTCTAAAGATTGACAACATTTTAATGGAAATGATATATTCTTACATGAACATTTCCTAGAATGAGACCACAAATGTCAAACCCATACATAAATTAAAAAAAAAAAAAAGTACATGAACCAACATATCAAGAAACTATAATGTTTCAATTTCAAACAAAGCATATTAAATAAAAACTTTGGTTCTGAATACAATTTTCAAAGCCTTCAGATTTGTATACCAAACACAGACCTGCTAATTCATGTGATCAGATTCAATACACTCTACCTGGACAGGAAGTTCATCAACAAAAAAATTGAACTCTTCTCCCCACATTGGATTTCTTGAGCCAGGAACCATGGAACTGCATCAGGATAAAGACATATAAAAAGTTGCAAACAGAGTGGAAATAGCAAATAAGTTACATGATGAATGCAATCAAAAACCACCAAGGCATTTCACCACAAGAAAGCTCAAGTGATTTGGCACAATTTTCTACTAATTATATAAATGGATGGGTTTTACTTCTCTTTCTTCTTTCTTTTTTCTTTCTATTTTTAATAACAAAGAGGAATTTGCTAGAAAGAGTAAAATAAGAGTACAACAGATGAAGAAGTTTACAGAAGAAAAGTGGAAATCCAGCAAATAAGAAGATGACTACAAGTAGGAAAAAGGATGAAAAAGGAGAAAAATCAAGAGAAAATAAATAAATAACAAGCACATTCCCAATGGTGCACTCCTAACAAAACTATAAGCTGCCAAGTTAGTGATCCCTAAAACCCATCTGAAAAAGGAACTAGTCCTAATAAAGTGTCCCAATTTCAATGGTCCACTGAAGCCATATCCCATCTGTGAATAGATGGACTGTACTTGATTTGTTTATTCAAAGTCTTATGGTACTGTTTATAATCCTAATGTATGCTACCGACACCGTTGCTCTTGAGATCTGCAACAAGGGAGAGGATTGGAAGACCTAGCTCTGCCAACCTGCAAGCACAGAAATTGGTCAGAGGCCCCAGAGTTGTTCCCAAGGAAAATTTTCTGACGCAGAAGTCAGACAAGGAAGAGGAAGACAGCAGTGCAGGGCTGAGCACCTTTATATAGAAGGAGAGTCCTGGCCAAAGGGGGACTAGGTTTCTTTGTTCGGCTCAGTTTCCTTATTCGATATGGTTTCCTTGCATGGCTTGGTTTCCTTGTCGGCCAAACCTTCCAACTTAGGGCTCCATCTTCCCTTTTCTTTCTCGTCATTGATTCTTCAATTTGCCCTTCGCTTGGGCCATGTGTTGCCTCCTGATTGGCAGTTGATCGTGCTGTATCAGCAACTATTTTCATATATAGCCGTATTTATTTTTCTATGTAGCCCTAAAGGAATAGTTTGGTATACATATGTGTTGCTCCTCTTAAGAAGATATGCCTCCACGGGGCAAGTGGTTATAAGAAGATTCTCAGCAAATCTTAAAGAAAGAATTGAAGGAAAGGGGTCAGGTGGCAGAGCTGCAGAATGCACTGTCAACTAATCAAGAAGCAATTGCTTAATTAATTAAACCTTGATCAATTTGGATGAAGTTTGGTGGAAGTAGGAATAGTTTGGTATACATAAGTGTTGCTCCTCTTAAGAAGATATGCCTCTATGGGGCAAGTGGTTATAAGAAGATTCTTGGCAAATCTTAAAGAAACAATTAAAGAAAAGGGATCAAGCTGCAGAGCTGAAAGGAATAGAAAGGAATTTTATTAATAATTCCTAGACTCTAACTTTTGTTTTTTGATAGGTAATAGAAAGGAATTTTATTAATAATCAGAAATATATACAATAATTACTGCCTCCCTTGGAGAGATGTTAGATGCTACCTCTCACAAGAAAGCAAAAAAATTAAAAACACGAAGTAGATTATAACCAACCCCAATATAAAATGATACTTTGCTTGGCCAAAGTGTTATGCAATCCATTAGAAGATCTTCTAACCAATTGGAATCACATAATCACCTTGTTAGTTAACCACTTAAACTTCTTTTCTTCCCTACAAGTCTAAATTATAGACTCCAGTTTCATCAACCATCCCACCACCAACTTAGAATCTCCTTCTACAATCAGCTTGTTCATGTTCCAATCTTTTGCTAGTTCCAGTCCTTGAATTACAGGAAAGAATTCTGCTCTAATTGAATCCCCCTTTCCCACCAGACCTGAACACATACAACAATGTCACCATCTTTATCTCTAAACAACCCCCCCCCAATGCCGAAGGGACCGAAAAAGACCTCTCCAAGATTCAGGCTTTAGGCTCGGTTTTACACTGTTTCGTGCTCGGGCTTTGGGCTGGGCCTATTCAAATTTTGGCCAGCCCATGAACAAATCTAGACCCAGATTCCCATGGTTGTTTCCATCAAAATTCAGTTTAATAAAATCTTCAGTAGGAGGTACTCAAACAGAGGGAACAGGTCTAGTTTTTGAAGAGTTGTTTTCCACTGCTGCCCAATTCCTCCAAAAGTCAGCAAAGGAAAAAGGGGAAAAGATATCCAACATTTCAACTCAATGTATCACCCACTTCGCACATTCTTTCACCAATTCCACACTTCTCTCTCTTTCTAGAAAAATCCCCATGTTCATTTCTTCCCAAACCAACCACAATGAAGCTGCCCAAATGCATCTCCACAAGATTCTGCCCCTTTTTCTAGGCCCAAGAAAAAGTATCTGGGTTGAACATACAGCTTATCTCAGTTGGAAAGTTCCACCTACACCCAAACAAGGAAAAAAAACATTCCCAAATGGACAGGAAATTGGTAGGTGGCATGGTTCACAATATTGGCAATTTTTTTAGCAGCAAGAAGTTACATTCATTAAGTAAGATAAGTTAAGATTACAAAGCACAGCTGGTACCACAAGCAACACATCCACTACTTTCCATTATTACAGTTTTGTTCTTTCACATAAAACCAGCCCCATTAAAGTTTTTCCCAGAAAAATTACTCTCTAGCATTGAGAATCGACCCCTGCTTCTGTTGTTCATCGCGGGCTATCGCTACATCCCTGTTGGACTCTGAGCTCTCCGTTCTGCAGGGTGATCAACTTCCGTGAAATTCTCCCACATCTTCTCTTTCAGAGGTTCTGAAGTGGTGAAACAGAGGTGCTTTTGCATTTCTTCAGAAATCCTCAACCAACCACTGCTTCCCTTCCCTTCCAGTAGGCAAACCATTTGCCCACAATCTTCTTCAGAGAACTCTGTTACAGATACATACCAACCTTTCCTATTCCACTGCAACACTGTCTCATACCATCTATCTGTGACCTCATGAAACTTCTCCACCCTACTGTTTTAACAGAGAACAGCGCCCCATCCACAAAACCCTTCAGCCACCGTATTGCTCCTTCGGTTAGAAAAATTGTAGCTATCCTCTCCTCTTTTAACTTCAAATACCTTTGATCATGACATCTGCAATCCTCTAAAATCAGATTTTTTGCTTCAATATATAAGGGCCTCTTCCAAATCGTTGTCTCCATTGGAGAAAGAGGAACTGTAATGATCAATTATTGTTGAAGCAGTCTAAACCCTTCAGATGATAGCCAATTGATAGCCAACTTACCAAATGAATCCCCTTCAGATGATGTTTGCAATAACAAAGAGGACAAATCTAGAATTACTCCTTGGTATCCCCAGGCCCCAGCTCCAAATCTTTCAAAGCTTGAACAGTAATAATCCCTATAACTTACTACAGGTTCATAGATGATAAAAGAATTATCCAACAAAGCAACTAATAGTGAAAACAATAAATAATTTCAGTACATGCCAAAAACAAGCGATCACCTCTTCCTCTACTATAGCAATAGCATCATAAGAGTAACAAGTAGTGACTTCCAAAGAATTTCTCATGAGATCCCTTCAACATAGAGTAACAGGGTCACAAAAGTTGCAAAGAGAAAAGAAAAGAAAAAGCATGAACCATATCAAATACAACAGAAAGAACCGAAAATTTTGGGTCAAGTCACCTAAATCGTTTTTGTTCACCACAAGTAATGATAGCATATGGATCTGATGTGCCATTCAGGTTTGCACCAATTAGATTCTTAGCTGCTAACAGTTCCAACTGAAACAAAGAAGAGACACGATCTCCTTGTTAAAATGGAACATCCATTACAGCATGATATCAAATAAATAAATCTATATATAAAAAGAATACTCCTTATTTATCCCATAATATGCAAACATAAAAAGTATTAAAATCAGAAAAACACCGGGAATAATTTAAAACAGAACTTCTGAATTCAAAGAAAAGACCCTTACTCCATGATTTAGAAGAAGGGGAATACCTTGATTTCATATGCAGAATTGCTTTGAGAATCTCCATTCAACTGGTCTATCTACAAAATAAGTGCAGAACTGCATGTCAAACAAAGGGAAAATTACTCCATGAAAAATAAAGCACGTAAAGAGTTGGATTTAAGTGCAACACAACATGAAGCTCAACATTCATGAAAATGAATAAACTATTCGCAATCAGCTTCAGCAGCAAAATCATACTTAACTTTATTTCTTTCATTTAGTAGAAAGTCAAAACATTAAACACACACACACACGAGATGACTATGTACCAAAAGGCTAAAAGTACAATGAGCATTTCCAACAGGAAATAAAACCAACACAGATAAGATCCAACCAGTAAAACCCAATAAAAAAGCTAACCAATGACAGTTTGCCATCTGAGCCAATTAGGAAATGATTGGGCAAATAATATAAACACCTAGTCAATGAAGTTAAACGAAATCAACAAATTAAACCTAACTATAAAAAATTAACTGCTTCGAAGTGAAGATAATAATGATACATTCAACAACATGACAGCCTCAAAATAAATAAGAAGCAAGAAGTAATGAGGGAGACCAAACAGCAATAGAAGTCAATTCCAGTTAAAACAAGAAAAGAAGATGCCAAGTTATGAAGCATAAACTAGAAATTAAATACATGAAAGGGTTTGACAAGAACTGAGAAACCATTTGTATACCATGTACCATAGTTGTCAAGGAAACACCTAGGGTTCTATTAGATAATATTAAACCTTGCCAAAGTTTCATATGTTTCTTATATTTTTATATTATAAGTATATAATATTATGATGGGCATGATACATTGTATCATTCTTTTTATTTCTTTTAGCCAAATAACAAGTTTTTATTAATTTCTTCTTCTCCTTCTCCTCCTCCCCCTCCTTTCGGAACCAAAAACAGGGGTTCTACCCCTTCTTTTTCTATTTTTGGAACAAAAACAGGGGGTCATCCCTTTTCTTCTCCTTTTTCCTTTTGAATTTGAAAACTTCTTTGATGCCAGAAAAGTCCAAACTAGGAGAAAAGAAACTTGCTAAAAGAGAAGCCCAAAAACTTTTGTGTATTCTCGAAATAGTATCATCATAATCCTCTATACCAATAGGAAAGATTGTGTGGAAATTAAACTTTAGATCAGATGCTAATTCAAAACACTTCAAATAGCCCTTAAATTATCCATATCAATTGCTGTAATGTTTAAAAAGAAGTGTCATCAGTATACTGTAGGTCAGTATGTGGGATATAACTGGGCCTTCCAATCATCTTGAGGCCTTAAATGATAGCCCTTCCCCAAGCATCACAAAAAGAACCCAATCATTTAAGAAAAAGAATCAACCAAACCAATCTGGTATCTGTTATGACCAAAACTCACCAACCAATCAGCACAGCAGCACAATTCGCCACTGTAAAAACATGCACATAAGAGATATTGAAGATCATATTTAAATATGTATAACTCCAATCAAATCAGCAAAGCCTTATATGGGGTTGGTGGCTACATAATTCCTGTTTCGCCGTTCCACTCCACCAAAGGTCCTATCCATTTTTAAATTGTGAACCCTCAACTTGCAGTATATCACTTCTTACTGGTGTAGAAGTGAGCCCTCAATCATTTCTAACTACCTTCACCTAAGTCCTTTTTGACCTACCCCTAGCTCTTGTAGACCCAGTCTTCAGTTTGCAAGATACCACTTATTCCTGGTGTAGAAGGTAGTCTTTTATGCACATATCTAAGCCATCTTAGCCTACTTTCTCTCGTTCTCTTTCCTATCATCCTTTCTGGTTTAGCACTCATCCATCTCAATATTTGCATGTCCACACTTATTTTTTAGACATGTTGCTTATTGAATATCCAACACTCTGCTCCATAAAAAATTGCAGGCTTTATGGATGTCTTATGAAAGTTTCCTATTATGCATATACACATTGATAGATAAAGAGATAAATATTTATGTATATTCCTGTGTTTATTAACTCATATGATAGTTAAATACCATATTCACCCAAAAAGAAAGTTGTGTAGTTTTAAGTGTAAAGAAGGAAAAAAGCAAAGACCTAGCACAAAGATTAGAAAAATATATATGTTTGCACAATTGATATTTAATGATGTTCAAGCAAAGTAACAATGTTAACTCAATAACAATAAAATGCCACTTTGAACCAAAACAAGTTTTTTTTTTTTCTATTTTCCGTGCAATCAAAATGGTATAAAATGGAGTAGAATACCAGTTTTCATAAAAGAATTTGTCTTTGCTATTGTACGTGCAAACATACTATACCAAAATGAAAAGCTTTAATGTTAGTAATAACACACCTTCACAGTAACACAAATAAACAAACTCAAGTTCCCCGTTAAGTTAAAAAGATAAGACCAAAAAAACAAGCCTAGTTCTACAAAGTTGAAACTAAAAGTCACCACTTCTCCATCTCGGAGAGGTTACAAGGAATCCAAACTGAATTCCTATAAAAATTGATAAATTTAATAATGGCATATCCATTAACAATTCACACCACCGTGAGAACAATTCAAACAGAGAAAAAACAAGAACACTGCAATAAAAGAATAATTTAACTCACCGGTTCCGGTTCCTCGTCAGGAGGGGGGCACTCATCATCGACTCCTTCTCCTCCAAAAGAGAAAAAAGAATAAGCAGCGATAATGAAGATTGCCGCCACAACAGTGATCTTAATCTCCCACCACGAAGGCAAGAGAAAATCGAAGGCGATTTCGGTCATTTTAATGGTGATCATTCCCAGCCGGAGCGATGAGAAAGATCGAAGCTCTAGGGTTTTGGTTCCGAAAATGCAAAGAACTTGAGAGGTCTGAAGAGGAAGAACGGCAACCATGAGAGAAGGCGAGAAGAAGAAGCGACCATTTTGAGAGGAGAGAGAGAAAGTCAGACGAGATCAGTTGAACTTTGATTGAGAAATTTCACAGAAATTAAGGTGAGAACCGGGAAGAGAGACAATGTGGCCGTTTACAAAATGTCCACTTTACGAAATTGCCCTTCTATTTATGGGATAACATCGGCAGTACGTACTTTTGTTGGATCAAGTAAACCCAAGAAGCAGGGGTATTTTAATAAAGAAATATTTCTTCAGGAAAATAAAATGCTTGAAAAGGGCTTATAGGTCGTGTAGGCGTTAGAACTTGAAATTAATCGGAGACATGTTTAGAGTTTCGACTGAGAAGCAAGGCTGCTAAGAGACGAGGGGCCCAAACAAAGTTATCTACTTATCTCTGCAGGAGCTCTCAACCGTCTGATCTGTTCACAGTTGGGGCTTAGATGTTAGGTGGGCCTCACGCTCAATGCATCGTGTCTGATCTGTTCATAGTTTGAAGCTGATGCGGTCACACAGTATCATACTTTTCATGAGATCCCTCCCTTTCATCCGTTGAACTCTTGCGTTCTTATTGACTTATGAGACAAAACAAAAAATGACTCTTCAAAAGGTGCTGTCGAGCCGAGCGCAGTTTCTTTTCGACTAAGATATTTCTAAACTATTAGCAGAAAAGCACGTGCGTAGCATGTGTATTAATATAAAAATATATGATAGTAAAAATTATTTAATATGAAAAATAATTTCTGAAAATAGAATCAAGAAAAAAATCATATTATGAAAAATTATAATTTTTTGTAATCACAATGTACAAAGATTATTATAACTTTGAAAAATAATTATTAATTACGTGGTAATTATTCTAATCATAATTATGAATAACATAAAAAAAAACAGAATTTAGAAAGTGGATAATCACTTTTGCTAGTTGGGTAAGTATTATTTGTCTTTTATTTTTTTACTTTTTTGTAAAGCTTTCCCTTGGCAGCTATAAAGGTACAAATGAGATCGGTTAAGAATAAATAAGAATAACAATATATACATGAGGAAATAAAAGTATTTTTTCTCTAAGAAATTAACAATATAGCAACGATAATTAGGGATGACAACTTTGCTTGGGGCCCCTAATCCCTGCCCCTTGGAGATCCTTGCTTATATATGTATATATATGTATGTATGTATCTACATATGTATATATATTATATTAATATTTTTAAAAATATGGTTGAATATGTTTGAATATATTTAGATTTTTTTATTGGAGATTGTAAATTTTAAATATTTTAATTTATTTTTTTAATTTTAACTATTTTATTTTTATTTTTATGAAATAAAAAATAAAAAACAAAATAGTTGACATCATAAAAAAAGCATGAGGAATGGGGATCCTCATGGGGACAAGAATGGGGATAACCTTGTCCTTGCCAATGGGGATGGGGATAGTGTAATAATTTGTTAGTAAATTATTTCTAAACAAATAAATAATTTAGTAAGTTAAGTAAAAAAAATCATAGATAACAATTTATTTAATTTAATAAAATAAATAAATGAATACATAAAAGTTTATTAGAACATGACTAGTACATGCCTAAATCAGACCCAACCCATTTATAGTCCTAAATATTGGGCTAATAATAATTTGCTAATAAATTATTTCTAAATCAACAAATAATTTAGTAATTAAATAAATAAAATTTTATAGATAATAATTTATTTAGTTTAATAAAATGAATAAATAAAATTTATTGGGATGGGACAGGTACAGGCTATCTAAAGGATTTGAAGTGACCATTTTAGGTTAACTTTATGGAATTTCTACTTTACAGGCCTTTGGTTTGGTGGTCTACAAAACCCCTACCTATCCAGATGCAAGGCTTGTAAAGTAGAAATTCCCTAAATTTAACCTAAAATGGTCACTTCAAATCCTTTAGGATAGCTTGTACCTGTCCCATCCCAATAAATTTTATTTATTCATTTTATTAAACTAAATAAATTATTATTGGGATGGGATAGGTACAGGCTATCCTAAAGGATTTGAAGTGACCATTTTAGGTTAAGTTTAGACCACCATATCTTTGTAGGACTAGGCGCTGCTCATGAGATAAGTCTCCTCCGATTAATACTTCTTTTGATTCGTCCTTAGTACCTAAGTTTACTGTCACAAATTTGGCCTTCGGCTTATTCTCTTCGAGTCTCTCAACTTTATCAAGAAGTTCCTTCAAAATTTCCTCATTAGGATCCTCTTGTTCAATAACCATGAGAGTAAAATCTAACTCAACATTGAAATTGTAAGGCTCAAGGGTGGTTTCTTGGGAGAATAAAGGTAAAGCGGTGAGTATTGGGGGAAATAAAAATTTTATTTATTATAAGGCTTTTTGGTTGTGCAAACCAGAGGGAATGATGCCCCTGGGTTGTACCAAGTCTGAAACCAAGTGGATTTATTTTTTGACCCATACCACCCCGCTACTATATTTTTCAGTACGCACTCTACCTGTATACTTATCTCTATACATCCATCCATGTTTTTTTAACCATATGAAATTTTGATTTTCTTCATCTAAGGATATATCTT